AATTTACCTTATGATGACAAAACCTTGTCGAAACGTTGTACATTTGCTGTTATGTTAAACTTATATTAAAGTTTTTCTTCATTACCCATTCAAGCCGTCTCCAGCAATTAATAATCCTTTCTTTATTCATTCAGCATATGTATATGAATTTTTTTATTCAATTCACAATTTTACACTAATTTACCCCTCCCTGGGAAATTTCTGCAGACGCCCGTGCAGCTGTCTCAAAACTTCCTGGTTGTTTTACTATTTTCAGATAAAAAAGTTTGTCAGAATCTAGTAAATTGTGCATGTTAAAAAATGAATTAAATTTAGAATCTGAAATAGATGGTAATAATATGGTGTTTGGTTCAAGGTGACAGTGTTATTAAAGAAAAAAAAACAATCTTTTTGTTATCAACAATTAACTGGTTCCTTGAAAATCATTTATTTTTCCAGATATTTCTGGGTTCCAGGAAGTTGCTGTAAAGATTCCAGAAACATGAAGGTTTATTACTCATTCAGCATGAATATAGGATAGTTAATTCTATAAAACATTCATCATTCTATAATAATCTTGATATTAATGTTAATCAGAGAACATATTTGTGAAAAAAACAGACATAAATTATGATGAAATGTACACAGTAAGTACTTTTTACTGAAAGTACAAAAATATTTATAACTCTACTTAGTACCAAAAAAAATAAAGTATAAATTTTTTCTCCAGAAACTGACTTGTTTATAGCTGCATGAGTGAAATTATTGTATACCTTTTTGTGTTTTATTTACATTGTGAACCTGTTCTGATGCACTCAGAAGACAGTGGGGTAGGCTTTACGTACAAATTACATGTTCATAAACATTAGGATAAAGACGTGCAGTATATGATTTATACGACAATATTTAAAGGATTAAGTGAAGTTAGAGATTATCATGAATGAGGTATCTTAAAGAATGAAATACTTTTGTATACTTATATATATATATATATATCGATCACTCATGCACGTCTATTGGTTCAGCTCTGCATCATCTCCTGTCGCTAATTTTCACCATGTTTTTTTGTCCTGTGCTTGGTCTTCTAGCCTTTTCAATACTACAGACCGGTTTGCTCTCCCCCTAAACTGTCACATACCACTCAAATGCAAGTACAACAAAGATACTTTATTATATATATGAATATTATGGCTCGGTAAGAAGTTTGTGATGGATTGGCACCAGTCTGTGGACTAGTGGTTGGGAAGCAGTGCTCTGGATGTCCTTTATGCTACATTTTTACTTTCTTTTGTCTTTTCCCATGCATTTGCCAACATCTCCACCCTCTTTGCCAACTTTACTTGTACACATGGTAAATATACTTGTACATATGGTAAATATATTTGTACACATGGTAAATATACTTTACTTGTACACATGGTAAATATACTTTACTTGTACGTATGGTAAATATATTTTACTTGTACGTATGGTAAATATACTTGTACATATGGTAAATATACTTTACTTGTACACATGGTAAATATACTTTACTTGTACGTATGGTAAATATACTTGTACATATGGTAAATATACTTTACTTGTACGTATGGTAAATATACTTTACTTGTACACATGGTAAATATACTTTACTTGTACGTATGGTAAATATACTTTACTTGTACATATGGTAAATATATTTGTACACATGGTAAATATACTTTACTTGTACACATGGTAAATATACTTGTACATATGGTAAATATACTTGTACACATGGTAAATATACTTTACTTGTACACATGGTAAATATACTTTACTTGTACACATGGTAAATATACTTGTACATATGGTAAATATACTTGTACACATGGTAAATATACTTTACTTGTACACTTGGTAAATATACTTTACTTGTACATATGGTAAATATACTTTACTTGTACATATGGTAAATATACTTTACTTGTACATATGGTAAATATATTTGTACACATGGTAAATATATTTGTACATATGGTAAATATATTTGTACATATGGTAAATATATTTGTACATATGGTAAATATACTTTACTTGTACACTTGGTAAATATACTTTACTTGTACACTTGGTAAATATACTTTACTTGTACACTTGGTAAATATACTTTACTTGTACACTTGGTAAATATACTTTACTTGTACACTTGGTAAATATACTTTACTTGTACACATGGTAAATATACTTTACTTGTACACATGGTAAATATACTTTACTTGTACACTTGGTAAATATACTTTACTTGTACATATGGTAAATATTATTCTTGCATGAGAGCTCTAACCCCTAATCACTGGTTAATGTCAGTAACCTAAGTCATACAATATTACACAACACTACACTTGTCATTCTAGGCTTTAATTGGTTATGTCATATTAATAGAAGTAATTGACTTGGAATATTAAACCTACAATTACTGGTGGGTTCCAACCTCATTCTTCCATCAAATTGTTCATGACTTTCACTCTCCTCAAAGCAAGCTCTTTACTCAAATGGGGGGTTTAATACTGTCAACAAATACGGCTTTCTAAATAAACTATTCTCAAGTTCCTACTTGTAAATAAAATTATTTCATCTCTTGGGTATTCTTGTGAGATTTAGATTAATCCTAAATCAGTAAGCTAAGCCAACAATGTAAATTAATCTGTATAATAAAACTACCATAATTAATAAAAATGTCAACGAATGTAACACAAATGAAGGAAACATTTAACCTTACTTGTGAATATTTTTCTAAACTTATATATTAAACTAGCAGTGTGGATTGGTGGTAAGTTTATGGGCTTATATTGCTAAAATCCGGGGTTCGATTCCCGCTATGAAACAGCGTGAAGATAACCTGTTGTGTAGATCTGTAATAAACCAAACAAAATTAATAAAACTAGCTATTTGATAGTTGCGTACGAGTCACACAGACAAATCAACAAAAATAACCTCAGTATTATAATTAATCCCGCTACTTACTGCTGACGTATCCCGTGAAATATATCAAAAAATTACACGTTTTTTTTTATCGTTCTGCTTGCTGTAACAACAAATTAAGTAAATCTAACATAGTTATTAATAATAGTGCATGTACGGTAACTGGAAAAAGTGGGAGGCAGGTGGTGCCTCTTCTGCCCCCTGTGTTAGGCACCTATGGCTCATCAAATTTTGGTCTCAGTTTTACAGACATCTGTTTAGTAGTAATAAATTTAAAATAAAAAGTACGCTATCTCTGAAACGTTATAAAAACACGTATACGTCAAAAGTGCTTTGGAGACAAACAAAAAATCTGTTAATTCGGTTTCGGATGTTTCTTTTTTTTAAGTTGTTAAGCATTTGTATTTTTTGAAATTAAGCACAAAGCTACACAATGGGCTCTCTGTGCTCTGCCCACCACGGGTATTAAAACCCGGTTTTAGCGTTGTAAGTCTGCAGGCATACTCACTGTGAGGTATTTGTACCGTGCCTGCTGCCGGGATCGAACTCCGTAACTGAGTATTATAAAACTTCAAACTTAACTTTGAGCCACCAAGGGGGGGATATGTTTTCGGCTAAAAAGTATCATTGCAAACAATAGAAATAGAGGATCATAAGTCAGCAAAAAACAGTAACAAAAAATTATAATTATTGAAAAATAGTGGCGAAGTTGTCATTCAATTATATTACGCATGTAGGTCTTTTTTTTTTTCACTTTACATCACCGAGTTAATGCAGAAAAGCTACCATTAAAACAACTAACGACGTAGAAGATACCTCTCAAATCACACACACACTTCTCTAATTCCATCATATGCAAATAGATAAAATATTTCTAGATTTAAATATTTATTGATACAAAAACGTTCAAACAACAGAACAACTATTTGAGGCCAGGCTGGCTCGGAAGTTTGTGTGCCGAAATCTGAATCCGAAGGTTCGTGGTTTGCGTCATCCCGAAATCGCGCTCTTCATTTTGGGACCGTGGGTGTGTTACCAGAGTAACAGTCAAAATCCAACTATTCGATTATAGTAGTCCAAGAATCCTCTATGGGTGCTACTCTCTATCCTTTCCAAATTAGGGACCGCTAGCTTTGCTCGAATATCCAATATGTGAACAACTAATAACAAAATACTAGCTTATATAAGTTTTAAATCAATACAAATATGCCCCCAGTGTCTGCTAACTTACACTGTTAGAAACCGGGTTTTGATACTCGTGGTGGGCAGAGTACAGATAGCCCACTGTGTCGCTTTGTGCTTAACCACAAACAATACAAAAAGTTATAATTTGATTTAAGAGAGAAAAAAAAAAAACCTTTACAAATTA